CACATACAGACTGGCCGCTCACTGGCTGAGCGAGGTGCGGGCGCAACACCGAGGGTTGCGATCCCGTTGCCGGTCCTGGTCCGGTGTGGGCACGACACTGAGGGTTGCGATCCGTTGCCGGTCACGAAAAAAGACAAAAAGGAAAAATAAATAAATAAATAAATAAATAAATAAATAAATAAATAAATAAATAAATAAATAAATAAATAAATAAATAAATAAATAAATAAATAAATAAATAAATAAATAAATAAATAAATAAATAAATAAATAAATAAATAAATAAATAAATAAATAAATAAATAAATAAATAAATAAATAAATAAATAAATAAATAAATAAATAAATAAATAAATAAATAAATAAATAAATAAATAAATAAATAAATAAATAAATAAATAAATAAATAAATAAATAAATAAATAAATAAATAAATAAATAAATAAATAAATAAATAAATAAATAAATAAATAAATAAATAAATAAATAAATAAATAAATAAATAAATAAAAATAATACCTTGATATTAAGGAAGTGTGCTCAGATGCATGGACAGGGATGTTCACTGTAGTGTTATATATGGTAGTGAAAAGTCAGAAACAACCTAAATATCCAGCAGTAGGGGAGCAGGTAAATAAACTATGGCCCATCCAAACATGGAAATTCTGTGTCACAATTAAGAATGCCAATATGGAAGTATTCATTGACATGGAAAAATGTTAATTATACAGTAAAACAGTACAGTCATGCTTGGGTAACCTCAGGGGATTCGTTTCAGGACACCCCACAGATACCAAAATCCATGAATGCTCAAGTCCCTTATATAAACCGCATAATATTTGCATATAACCTATGCACATCCTCCCGTATACTTAAATCATCTCTAAATTACTTATAATACCTAACACAATGTAAACTTTGCTAGGTAAATAGCCATTACATTGTATTGTTTTTTAAATTTTTATTATTTTTTATTGNTTTTTTTTTTTTTTTTTTGTCCTTTTTGAGACCGGTCGTGAGCGCACCAGTCATCCCTATATAGGATCCGAACCCGCGGTGGGAGCGCTGCTGCGCTCCGAGTGCGCCACGGGCTCGGCCCTAATGTCGCTTTTTCAGGGGGAGAGATTAAGAGTGATTCTTCTTTCTGACCACTCACTGCTTCTGTAATTTCTAGTTTTTCCCTCAGTGAACATGAATTACATATGTAAAACAGAAATGCAATTTACAAAAGTAGAAAATGGGTGAGGAAAATGGGAAAAGGAGAATATAGGGATTCTGGACTGTGTAGAATTTATTTGAAAATGTATTGATTAAAAAAAAAAAAAACCTAAGTACAGTTTTATAGCGTTGTGGCCCAGTGGTTGTATTTACACGTAGCAGGCAATTATTAAACGTTTGAAAGATGAACTTACAACACTGAAGAGTCATGAGCCAGCTTTTGTTAAATATACATTCGTAATCAGGAAGTAAAAGTTAATCATGGTGCAATTTCTGTCTTGTTTTGAATGGAAGCCACCAACGACCTGCCTTTTATATGTGGGCTCTCAATAGCCTGTGTATATTGAGTAATGACTGTGCAAGAGACAATCCTTAAATCGTGTGTTAGAGCTGGATGGGTAGATGGAGAGATGGATAGAAACACACACACACACACACACACACACACACACACACTCACACACATCTAGCACAGGACCACTTTTTACTACCTCCAGTACAAACACCTTGGTCCAAGCTGCCATCAATAGGTTCCCAAGTGGTCTCCCTGCTTCCACCTGTGGCCCATTCGCTACACTGTAGCTGGAGCCATCTTTTCAAAACATGAATGAGATCATCTCTCTCTTCTGCACAAAGCCTTCCTGCACTTCCCCATCAATCAAGATCAACCCTGAGTCTTCACCGCAGCCTCCAAGGCCCTTCGTGGTCTGGCCCGACCTGCCTCTCAGATCTCACTGCTTGCCCTTCTGCCCCTTGCTGATGCCACTCCAACCACACTGGCCTTTTCAGGCTCTTTGCACTTCCTGTGTCCCCTGCCTGGAACATTCTCCCTGTCCAGTGTGGCTTGCTCCCTCACCTCCTGCAGGTCTCTGCTAATTGCCATCTGATTAGTAAGACAGGGGTAGGGAGCCCAGGCTTTCAGGCCAGGCTGCAGGTGGGGTTTCCAGAGATTTCTTTGGGCCCATTTTCTTTCATACTTCATCTTCGGGGTAAGTCCTTCAGCCACCAGCCTTCCCAAAACCCTCCTGGGCCAGGATGGGGGAAGGCTCCACCTACCCATCTACCCATCTACCCGTCCAGCTCTGACACATGATTTGAGGGTTGTCTCTTGCACAGTCATTGATCAATACACACAGGCTATTTAGAGCCCACCACCCTATATAAAATAATGACCCCTGTCCTGCTCTCCTACTTTATCCGACTTCACTTTTCTTCATAGCACTTATCTCCCTGACATATAACATATTTATTTCTTCGCTGTTTGTCTCCATCCACTAGAACTTAAACTCCCTGAGTGCAGGGACCTTGTCTCTTCTTTACTGAGGTTTCCTGAGCACCAGTACTCTAAGTAGCTGCTCAGTAAATATTTGAAGGACTGGAGGAGGATATCAGATATCATGTGACTGATCCTCCTCATTCTGCCAAGGAGGGGTCTGAGGCCCAGTCGAGACAGGTTCCATGTCTTGCCCGAGGTCACACAGCTGGGGCGGCAAGACCAGATCCTGGACCTTTCCACTCTGCTCCAGCTTCTGCCTATGCCTCGGAAGGGAGCTCAACCACACACAGGGGTCCTGGCCTTGTCTATCCTGTCTCCTGTGTGTTTTTCCAGTTTATGCAGAATTTCAGACCAGAATAGCTGAAGAAAAAACAGTTGTTCCTCCAAAACCCTGGAAACTCTTCCAGTGGGTCTGTCCCTGGAAAAAGAGCAGTGATCTCAGGGTGGGAAGGTAGGAAGCGGAGGAGGGGTCTTCCAGCAGTGGGGGCAATGAGATGGTTTTGGTTTTGCAATTAAAATAACATCTGGATCTGTTTCCACAGAGTAGTTCTGGAAGGTGGGTGGTCTGTCTGATGTATCAGGTGGGGCCTTCCCCCATCCCGGCCCAGGGGGGTGTGGGAAGGCTGGTGGCTGAAGGATTTACCCCAAAGATGAAGTATGAAAGAAACTGGACCCGAAGAATCATCAGGAAACCCCACCTGCAGCCTGGCCTGAAAGCCTGCTGGTCGCTACCCCAGCCTCATTCAGGGCATCTCCAGCCCCTCCCCCGCACCCCACCCCCTCCTTGAGATGGTTCGGATACCCGCTTTGATGCGCAGAGAGCTCCAGCCTCCTCTCTCGCATGCCTCATGTGGTTTGTTAATCGTGTGTGAAATGAGGGATTTCAGGCGTCACTCATCCGTGTGAGGACAGTGGGGCCCTGGAGCAGGGGAGTAGAGTGGAGGAGGGATGTTGAGCACCATTCCAGGCTTCTGAATCCTGTCCCTCTGTCTGTCTTCTTAGATGCAGCTTTTGGATAAGTTTCCCATCGAAGGTGGTCAGAAGGACCCCAAGCAAAGGATCATCCCCTTCCTCCCAGGTAAGCTTTGGGTGGCCCCACTGAGGGGTTGGGGGCTACCTGGGGAAGGGTATTCCCTGGGCCAAGAAGAGGCTGGCAACTAAGCTAGAAACTCTGGGAGGGGCAGGCCTAGGAATCTGCATATTAACCATTCCCCGAGGATTTGGAAGCCCCCGGTTTGGGAAGCCAAGTCCTCCAGGCAGCTTCTCCTGCCATTGCAGGGCCATCTCTGCCGCCCTCGGTCTGTAGCTTCTGAGAACTTTCTCAGGCTCCTGGACTTTGGTTTTCCTTTCACAAAAAGCACAGGGAGACCAAGTTCTTCTATGAAAGGATGAAGGGCTGCAGGCTATTTCCACTGCCTCCCGTTCTCATCGTAGATAACCTTAAATCGGGCGCACTCCTCAGGTCTGATCTCTAGTCCACATGCCACCATTATACAGATGGGTGGCTTATGTGACATGCCTGTGAGGTGGCAGAGACAGGAGCTGAACCCAGGTCTGTCTGGCAATAAAGTCCAGGCCATGAACCGTGACACGATTTGGGGTCATGTTTAGGGCAGTCGATTATGTTGTGTCAATTAGAGGAGAACTTCTCAGGTATGTTGTAACCTGCTGCATTGTTTGTGTAGAGATTTATAGCTTGCAGAGTGCTTTTTGTTTGTTATCATATACACCTTCATACTGAACTGTATTGTGATTCCCCCCCTCCCTCCAAAGGATGAGGATACTGGGATTCAGACAGAGTAGGTAACTGCCCATGAAAGTGGCAGAGCTGAGGGGTGAGCTCAGGTCTCCTGCCCCACATCTGGGCTCTGCCCTGAACCATTGGGCGAAGCTGCCTCCTGGCTCTCTGGATCCTCTACTTTTCTCCCCAAGCCAGTGGGCTGGTTCCCAGGGAAGCTCCCTTCACAGTGGACCAGCCTCCAGGACGATGGCAATCTGTCAGACCTCTGCAAGAAGCAGGGTCTGTGCCTCATTCATTCCTGGCATGCTGCCAGCACATGGTCAGTAACTACTTACTGACTTGAAAACACACCTAGGGCCACCTCCTTCAGAGAGTGGTTTCTATCTGAAAGCTGTGTCTTACGCTTCGCCCATTCTCAAAAGCAGCCGAAGACAAGAACACATATTGCTGCTTGTTCTCAGTCTTATGCGATAGAGAGAATTAATTTAGCTGCAAGGAAGAACTTCTAAATCCCACAGTTTGGGCAGGATCAGAACCCGTCGATGAGGGTGTAGGGAGTCTCACCCCCATCTCCTTTCATGGGGAGGAGGACTGCTTTGCCACTGCTGGCTTAGGAGTTAATATAGGAGACATCGTGCCTTGCTTGGCTTTGCACTGAGTCTTGAGGGAAGTTGGAATGTTCCAGTGTCCAGTTTGTAATAACCTTAGATGTTCCTCCAGTACTGTCCTGGTGCTCTGCCCACCCAGGGCCTGGGAGCCCAGCTGAGATGCTGTGGGCACAGGACTCCCAAGGGCAGCGCGAGGCTAGTGTGGTACCCTGTTGCAGGTGGTGAACCTGGCCTTGGGGCGTGAAAGCCACTTTTTTCTCAAGAAGAATGGGCTGCTTCTCCCTCTTCTTCTTTGGCCAGTGCTGCAGGGAAAGAGCACCTCAATATCATTCGAACAGCGGGTATTTATGAGAGGCTCCTCCTGTGCCAGGCTGATAGGGCTGGGGTGGCCTAGCGAGGCAAGGGGAGATGTGGATTCGTTTACCTCACTAAGGAACCCTCAGGCTAGTGAGAGAGAAGAGCTGCTCCATAATCAGAGAGTGGGTTAAGGCAGATGTGACTCTCCCCCACTGTGAGATTCCAGCTGTGATTGGAGAAGGAGCTTGGAGAGCAGAGAACTCACTGCAAGCCAAACATGGCAGTCCTGAAAGAGGGAGCCTGGAGTTGACCCTCGAAGGATGGTGGGGTTGGAGGGTGAGGTGAAGGGCAAGGCTTATGTACTGCTGCTGCTGCAATCCAATGTCTGGGGACTCAGACTGCTGGGGTCACCTCTGCAAACCCTGGCTCTGTTGGTTACCGGTTGTGTAAACTTGTCTGTGCTTCAGTTTCCTCATCTGGAAACGGGGCTGATAATAGTATCTACTCCGTGGGGCACACAGCCAGGAAGGGTAGCCAACATCAGAACTCTTACTCCTGGCTAGTGGACCGGGGCTCCCGTCCACGTCAGCTGCCCCGGGAGATAAGTCAACAGTCGCTGCAGAGCTGGGGACCTCTCTAAACTTCAATTTCCTTTTATAGGATTATGGTGAGAATTAAAGAAATTCATGGATAGCATTTTGCACAGTGCCTTGTCTTATAGCAAAACACTCAATAAATGGCAGATAGTAATAAAGTCACCTGCCCCCACGCCACCTGTCAGGAAAAGTCAAGCGTGGGGACACCTTCCAGCCACCATATAAATGTGACCTGTGCATAGCAGGTAATACTGTCAAGAGGAGAGAGGCTGACTTGTCTCCACCCCCAGCCTGCCCTAAAGGAAAAGTTGCCTCCAGTCTCCTTCCATGGAGGCAGGGGATTGCTTCTCTACTACTGGTTGGCAAGTTAATATGGGTGACCTTCATGCCTTGCTTGGCTTCTCGTCTTCCCTTCTTTCAGTGGGGTTCCCTCTTGGACACTTCTCTTCCGCTCACTTGCTCTCCAGGATTTCAGAATGGACGTTGCTGGCCATTTGGAATCCCACTTGGGGCTTATTCTGGGCTTTCCTCCTGCTGCCTAGAAGCTACCTTAACCCTTTCATACTCTGCTGCCTCCTTAGTTGGACATGAAGGAAAATGATTGGGCAAAAACAGCCCAACACAGTCAGAACCAGGCCAGGATGACTGAGTGGGCATGAGGATTCCCAGCCCACCCCCGCCACCCTGAGTCACAGGGGGTCCACAGGAAGAGAGGGCATCAGAGAAGGGCAGTGATGAACATAGCCTGTCTTAGGTCAGGTTCCGTAAAAGCAGAGCCTGAGATGAGGATTCGTCTGCAAGTGACTTTTGAGTGTGTGCTCTCATGTGAACTTCCTACAGCACCAAGGGGGAGAAGTGAGGCAGAGATGTGGGTTGACCTCAGAGTGCTGGTGGGTGGATGGCACCAGAGTTGTCCCATCACAGGGGACAACTTTTATACCTCCCACATCAGTCATCCATTGTCTGTGAGCTGCCCTTCCCCCAAAGGGTGTGGAGCCTGGGCAAGCTGGCTCCCAATGGCATACGTCTGAAGAAGGGGCAGCTGTGAGCCCCGAGCAGCCCACACTTCAGCAGCTGAGGGGACAAGCTTCAGCTCCTCTTGTTGCTGAAAAAGGGGCTCTGGGCAGGGCACCTGCAGCACCTACTGTGTTATCTGACACCAGCTTAAGGCTCTGTTTCTGCCTCCCTGCCTTTGGGGAGGGCATCTGAGGTCACCTGCTGAGCCCCCAGGCTCACTTCTGGCAGCAGTGACTTCAGCAGAACCCTGAGACTCCAAACACTCTTATACCCCACGGAGGGTTAGCAGGCAGCCTTGGGAACAGCTCTGCCAGCCCTTTGTCTCACCTGAAATTTCAGGGCAGGGAAAACCCCAGGGGAAGAAGCAGAGAGCACCCATTATTTACAGAAGGATCTCAGTTTTAGCTCCAGAGAAAGTGGGATGTGCTGAGCATTTCTGCTAACCAGGTGGGGAGTCTAGGGGGTGTGTCTGGAGCATTAGGCCCGCTGCTTTGCCTTGGCCCGCCTGGCTGCAGGCTCACGGTGGGGGCTCATAGATGTTCAGCTGGCTGGTGGAGGTGATAGAGGAAGAGAGGAACCCACGGTATCCCTCACATGAGCCATGAATCTTGGGATCTAGGACACAAGCTTGTGATATGTCTGATGGGTGTGTGGCCCAAGATCAGAGTCAACCTGTGGGTTTGAAAAGTGGTGAATGCCTGGGGCTCCTGCAGCCAAAGGCAAAGGCTCTATCACCAGAGAAGCTGACCACAGACGGTGCCCATTGGCTCTTGAGGGACAGACAGGGGGTTGTGCAGTGGTGCTGGGGTAGCGGGTATGGCTTGTGGGGGGGTCTGTGAGCAGAGCCTCAAGGAGCCAGTACAACTATTAACATAGTGAGCTGACATTTGCATAGCCATCAAGTTCTGTATAAAGGTTTGTAGGGAACTGCCCTTAAGAGGGGCCCCCAGTTGTTTTCACCAGGGGTAGAACCTGCTTTCTGGACCCTTGGGGTGGAGATCCACTGTGCCCAGGACCACCAGCCTTCCCGAGGCCTGTGGAGCTCATGGGAGGGGCAAGGGGAAGCTACAGACCCCATGTGGGACAGGCAGTCCTCCAGCAAGGCATCTGGGAAAGAAAACTCATGTGTTTTCATGGGCAGGAAGGGAAGGGGCAGAGAGTTACTCCAGGGCCCCTGGGGCCCTGGGGCGTGACAGTGTGGGCTTGTGCCTCCAAATCCTGCATTACTTGAGTGTGAGGGAGACACACCCTTCTCTTTTGCTGACCTCTGTGGCCTCCCTCTGAGACAAGGCCCTTATCCACTTCTGTCACGTTTCTACCACAGGCTGGACACACAGTGGGTACTTTGTTAAGACTCGTTGAGTTCTCCCTTATATACAGAATCTTTCCTTCCTTCCTTCCTTCCTTCCTTCCTTCCTTCCTTCCTTCCTTCCTTCCTTCCTTCCTCCCTCCCTCCCTCTCCTTTCTTCCTTCCTTCCTTCCTTCCTCCCTCCCTTCCTCTCCTTTCTTCCTTCCTTCCTTTCTTCCTTTCTTCCTTCCTTCCTTCCTTCCTTCCTTCCTTCC